GGGACCTATCAATGCCTGTGCCTCTCGCCTCTGGGCCCAGCCGAAGCTTTGCTCTTTCTCTGTGGGCCGGTCTGCTTCTCTCGTGCCAGAAACTGGGAAACGGCAAAACCATCACATTTCTCCTCTGGGCTCAGCCTGCCCGAAAACTGCTCGTTGTAGCGTGCAGTTAGAGCCTCCGTATGAAGGTTGGGGTCGGGGTAGATTTCCTTTTACGTTTTTGTAGGGTCTTCTGTTAACAGCCTTAGTGGTTTTGTATCGCCATCCCTCTCTCGATGCACTCGGAAGCCAGTAGAATATACGCACTGGGTGCGTCTGAGGGCTTCCCCTCAGCACTGTGTGGACCGTTCCGTCATCGGGGCTGTCCTGGGCACTGTGGGGGGCTGGGCCTGGCCCCCACCCACTCGGTGCCCGGAGCTCCCCCAGGTGCACCGACCACAGAGGCCTGCACACATCCGCCGGTGTCCCCTGGGGGCAGAGTCGCCCTCAGTGAGAGCCACTGGCGCAGACGGGCAGGTGAACAGAGCTGAAGGCCCTGGGCGGCCCTCATCCTTACCCAGCGCCCCCCCTGCACTGCGCGCCCCGCCCTCTGCCTGGCCCCTCGTCCGTCCACGTGAGCCCGCAGCCTCTTTTCCTGCACCGCTTGCTCTTCCGGGTTCTCTGCGTGTGTGTGCGTGTGTGTGCGTGTGTGTGTCTCTTGCACTGATGCTGCTCCTGATGGGCGAGACTGCCTTTCTCACGGTGTCTCGGCTTTATCTCCCAGGCACCTTGACGCAGGCCATCCGTAATTTTGCCAAGAGCTTGGAAGGCTGGTTGACGAATGCCATGAGAGACTTCCCACAGCAGGCCATCCAGACCAAGGTAGCCGCTCCGCTGCGAAGGGAGCAGCTGGGAGGGGCCCCTGTCCTCTGCCCCGGGGAAGGCAGGCGGCTCCTGTGCCTCCTGGACCCCTAGTCCTCCCAGGAAGCCCCGAGGCTGCTGGCGAGGAGGGCCGGCACTAGCAGGAAGGTGTCATTTGCTCTGAGGCACTTGGGTCGATTCAGAACAGGTAGAATGATTCCATGTCCGTCATGGGGGGAGGGTTTAATCTCCCTGCTGCCAGCCTCACTGCGACGGTCTTGGCCACGAATCAGAACCTGAAATGAGCCCACTTGGCCTCCATGCACAGAGGACAGTGATTGCCGGATGCTCTCACAAGCGTCCCTTAGAGACCTGCAGACCGGTGAGGCCAGGTTCCCAGCATCTGGCCTCCCTGACCACCTTCGGGAACTCTCTGTTAGACCAGTGACTCTCAGACTTAGGGTGCCTACGAGTAGCCAAGGTAGCGGTTACAGTCACACATTCCCAGGCCCCACCCCCACAAAGCCTGATCCCGTGGCACCCAGGAATCTGTATTTCCCTGGCCACTCCTGAGAGCCAGAGGCTTCTGGGGGGATAAGCATACCGTCGTGAATGCTACCTCCCCGATACTGCGGCATCTGCTGTAGATGCCAAGGTGCCTTGGGGAGGTTTGTGTCCTTCATTTATTCTCACTCTTCAGGTCCTTGAGACTGTCTGGAGCTGGGGGGGGGGG